ACAACGTCAAGAGACACTATCCAGTTTCCTAAAATGATCCATTTGTTTTAATCAATTAATCCAAGACTATGGAAATATTAGTTGAACAAGAGAAATGTAATTTCCTTCGATTACAAGCCCTCCCATTGAATCGTCGTTTGTCTTTTGCAATCAGTAATATGACCAGTTTGTAGTCAGTCAGTCAGTCAGCTACGAACGTAAGACCAGGCACATTTATGTATCGGTCCAAGTTGCCATATCTCGTTAGCACAACAAGATGAACACCGAATTCATAGAAATAGTTAATTTAGTGGTGGCAGTATATAAAAAAAGGTTGTATATAGTATATAGTATAGGAAGGAAAAAAGTTATGAAGCAATTTTAATCTCAAGCTTTAAGGGAAGATAAAGAGTGTATACACCTACGACATTGTGATCGATTCTGAGCCATGTCACTCAGAGTCTCCAGCCATTGGTTACGATAGTCACGCGGACACCAACCAAGTAGTCTGCTCATACTAGAAGTTAGTGACTTTATGGACTGATGCCACGTTTTGGTTTGGACACTCCTGACTTTCTTCCAACCATCCCCAATACTAGTCAGCATAGGGCGTCGTGGTAATCGGTGTTCAGGCATACGTAACACGTTGCCCAACCATCTCAGTCGATGAAGATTCATGACCTCATCAACTGATTTACCATCATTCCCTAATACCCGGCGTCTAACCTCACTATTACTTACCCGGTGATCCCAGGAGATGCGAGCAATATTTCTAAGACGTCTGTGGTCAAATACCAGTCTACTCTTAATGGCCATGTTTCACAGCCGTAACAACAACATAAAAAATATTCAGTTTATCTGTTGCTTGATTCTACCATGCATTAACATGTATCTATAGTTGTCCGTTTTAGTCAGGTCAAATCACACTAAATCATTTTGGTAGTGTTTAGCTATTAATTAATTGTTAGTCAGGACAATTCAATCAAAAAAAAAATAAACTGTCTGGATAATTATATGTTAGGGACAATTCATCCATGATTTTACATGTTTATATTAGGTATTTGTTAGAGTTCGATGACCTTATGATTAGAATGTTCGATTTTTTATCTAACTGATCCCAGACTCGAACTTCACTCTATCTGCTTAACAAGTTAGTAGTTATTTGGACTTAGTAGTTTAGTGGATAACACTTAAGTATTTGAAGTGATAGATGTTGGGTTCAGGTTTAAGTATAGTCACCAGAACTGTGATCCAGGTGCATTCAGTTGATGAGCCCCCAATAGAAAGAAAAGTCTGTTGCGGATTTCGGTGCTGGTAGGAACCCGAATAGCGAAATTCGTGAATATCTAGGTAGTCCATTTAGGATGCAATTATGTCCATAGAGTATGATGAGTTATAGTGTAGTGAACGAGAACACATGTGGAGACAATCGAATGTATTGGAATACAAAATTACAACATAGTTAAATTTGAAAACCATACAGTAAATACTTCATTTGCAAAATATCAGTCAATCGTCTAGGACTTCATTGTTCCTTCGTTTCCACACCAATCATTCTTTGTTCTCGTTCTCCTTTCTTTTATCTTCTTAACCTTCTGTCTCCAGGCATTTCACTTTCGGTTGATGATATATACTACTGATATCTGTGGAAATCAGTAGTAGTATATATTCGAAAAGTATATTAACTTGAAATATAATGAAATACGCTTTCTGAATTTTCCTTTTTAGTAGGTTGGTGAGGGTCTGGTTACCATATAGTTAGTTGTAAGCTTTCTGGTTATGATTATGATATATACATGTATTGGAATCCCGCAAGCAATATCAGTTCGCTAAAGATTCCAGATATACGTAGCTTGTAGGTATTCACCGGACATCCCTATCGACCTTATCTAACCGTTTAAAACTAGGTTACTGAGCTTACATGGTAACATTTCGCATCATACTCTTTAGTTTAGGTAAAGCAAGCCATATTTTGTTCCGTTACCTATGTGGTTGTGAGAAAATTTCACATATATGTAAAATTCAATAATATAATCAGATCGATTAGTCATTTTATGTTTGTAACTAATTCCCTCTGAAAGCACCATGGCAATATAAACATTTGTCTTTTTTCTCTTCTTTCAAGTCTTATCCTATTTTAACTGATTAAATAGTATATAACTCACCCGTTCGCTTCTATTTCGTATCTTTCTCCCCTTTGTATAGATGTATATACATGGGTATGAGTCATTCTTACGAAAAAGGAACTGTTTATTTTTTGTGTGGTTCCGTTTCAAGGTTATCTATGGTCACTTTATGTCGCTTTGCTTAAGAAAAAGGGTCATACAAATATAAACTGACTAGTTATCTGCCCTTCAGGTTAATTGATTTTTTTTTTCTCTCTATCTTTCCTTTATTGTTTCATTTGTTGTTATGGTCTATCATTTAGTCTGTGTTAGATATGTAAATTTGTATATGAATATCTATTAGTCATAGTAGTTGTTCTCATTGCTTCCTTCAACAGTAAGCTAATGAACTCTGACAACAATATGATTGATACATCTAATCTTTTCTAACAGTTTTGTATATAGACCCTAGTTATATATATGTGACTCATTTCAATTATCATACATCATACAGTTTAATAAAGTGAAATTTTATTCCCCTAATTATATTATGAAGCTAAATTATCCAGTTGTAATGTAGTCTATACACAAAGGTACAAGGCAGCCTGTTTAAACATCTGGGCTAACTGTTCCCCGTCATTTATATATTTCAACAAGTTATCTAATATTGTTTGTTTTAATACATCATTATGGCTATTAAGCACACAACCTATTCAGGTGCGTTTCTGAAAAGTGTACAACCTTTCGCTGTAAACGTTACAAAAGGCCTAATCAAAGATGTAGTGTTTGCTGGGAACATGCAGCAAAAAGAATATACATTATTCATATGTTGATTGACTGAACTTCTGACATCCAACTGGCGATCACTGAATATTTATCATCAGGAGCAACGAAGAAATAAGAAACGTAAATATGTTGAAATACTTTATGCTGAGTATTCGATTTTGTACCAAATAGTATAATATTGAATAAAGCTAATAATAATAATAATATACACTGAAAATAATGGATATACAGATCTATTAACTAATACATAAAGCAAGTAGTTAGAAGTTATGTCATCAAAAGTGCCCCGCCCCCAAATGACTTTGGATAAACAAGAATGGGGCGAGTCAACTCTCCCTCTTCAATTCCTCTCATATGGCTACACGTATACAACCATTATCAGAAAAGTCCTACACACTACCTTCACATTGTGAGGGATTGAGAGAACGGAAAATGAATGTCCAGTACTTAGATCGAGTGGATGGGTACGGACGATCGACCTAGAGGAGTTAGAAGACTATAGTTTCAAACCAATGGTACATATCGGTATCAGGGACATGAAGAAACAAACAGTGTATGAACTTAGTTTTAGTTACCGGGCATTATGGGACCGCATCTCCTAATGTTACTCCACTGCTTTTTGGATTAAATCTCTAGGCTAAGGGTTTAGGGAGTGTCCCAATAAGAAAACTACCTATTTAGGTATAAACTGTCACATAAATTTTGTATGGCTCATATCTATGTTAGTACCCCCTCTTTAAGTTTGTGTTTAAATAAATCACATTAAAAGTAAGCTTCGAATTCCTCAAATAAGAGATTAATGTATTGAAAATACACAGGATCTCAATTTTCCTAATTGAAATATTCATCATAAAATAATTTTTTGAAGTGACCCCGATACATACACTATGTGAATTTACCAGTTATAGTTTCTGACGTTTGTTATTAGTGAGTTCTTTGTATTTTCGGTAAAGTCGACTACTGAAATTAGACTCGAATACTGTATTTTAACAAGATAAATATTAGAACTATAAGCAAAGATGAATAGTGGCTAGCAATGGAATCCAGGAAGCGCGTTTCGTCTTGTTTGGGACTCGTCAACTGGATGTACCTGCATCTCAGAGTTGATGTCCACTCTGGGACTCGAACCCAGTAACTTTCGCTTCAAACGCCATCGTGTTATCCACTCGGTCACTGAGTCCCAGCATCCACTTGCTTGCGTAATGTGGTGAAGTTTAAATTCACTTAGTATTGCTTGTTTGAATATTCCCATGCAATCCGCACATAGTCAATAGTCGGCTATCAGTTTCCGTAAGTATATTTATTTATTTATTTATTTAAGCACATAAATATTGGTACAAGGAAGCACCAGATAAATATGCGCCTCACAAATCTCATTCGATTCGTGTGAGGGCTGTGATACTGCTCAGGTGCCCAGACTGAAGCAGGTGGTTTTCTTAGGGGGCCACACCTGGAGCCTTTGACCTGAATGTCTGATCCACAAGGCAGTGAAGCATTGGAAGGAGATGCATTCCCATGGTAGCCGGTGATTAACGATTGATTCGTACGCCATTTGTTCCCTTCGGATACTGAAGCCCATCTGTACCATTGGTTTGGAATCAGGGTTTTCTAACTCCCCTAGGTGAACTTTCCATGTCCACCAACCCAGTTAAAGCGCCGGACATTCGCTTTTCGTCCTCTCAATTTCGTAAACAACACCCGTGTTGCGAGAAGGCAGTGAGTAAGACTTCCCTGACAGAGGCTATATATTCGCTGGCCATGTGAGAGCATTTGGAGAGGGAGAGCGGACTCTCCCCACTCTCGGCCGTACCAGGGCATTTGGGAGTAGCACTGTAATAAACATAAACTCGAGTAGAATAATCCAATTTACTGTATTATGCGAAATCACTGTGTATATAAAGTCTGAAAGCAATATATCAAATATACTATTTATACATTTTCTTTGAGTTGTCCTTTATATATCCACTGTTCTTCCATTCCTGTTGTTATTTCTACTGCTCTCTGTTTTCCTTTCTGTTCTTCATTTTCACTTACCCGTGAGAATTCTCCTTTCAATTTCTGGTACATACTACTTGTATCTGTCCCTATTAGTAACACATACCGTAGTATGTGCTTTGCATCTTCTAAGTGCCAAGTTCCACGTGACTGACAGCACCCTGTGCCTGCACTAATTCTTGGTAGTGAGCAGTTAATAGTCAATGGGTTTGTGTATCTGGTAAGCTAAGTAAATGCTAGTGGTAGTATAGTAGCAGTTGTGGCAGCCTATGTTAATCTAAGCCATCTTTATTGCCTTTGTGATGTTAATCTGGTTGTAAAAGGTCAGATTTATAACGCGTTTGTGAAAGCAGTTCTTCTCTATGCTTGTGAAACCTGATCCTTTGGAGTTGAGTATGTAAAGTTACTCAGTTTTTGATCATTGTTGTCTCCGACGGATTGCTAACATCTAGTAGTAACACCATTTTGGTAATTCAGAAGTTCGGCAACGTGTGTTTGGGTACAGTGACTATAATTCAGTTGGTGTCATTATTTGGGAACTCCAACTTCATCGGCTTGGACATGTACTACGAATGTCATCCCAGATAAATATTATTATTTCGTCCTCAGACACTAATTCCTATAAATTATATTCATCTTCCTTTCTCCATCTCTTCACAATCTCATTATTATTGTATGACGCTTATATATTTTGGTTCCAATTGTAACAATGTTAATCTATTCAAATAATAGTTATCTCTCTGTACTGATGTGATGTAGAAATCTGATATTGATGGTTATTTATACCCGACTGCGTGTTAATGACAGTCAAAAGGTGAAACTTGTGATTGTCACATGGTATATTGTACATTATGCATTTTTACGACATGATCAGTAATTTATCTATAAATAGTTAAAAGCGTGAGTCAATTGAAGCTAGACCACCATGGAAAACCTGAAAGCACTGGACGGCCGTTTCGCACTGCTGAGGAGTCCTATAATTGGACGAAACGGCCGTTTAATGCTTCCAGGTTTTCCCTAGTGGTCTAGCTTCGATTGACTCACGCTTTCAACTATGAAAATACTAAATCTCCACAAAACCCCTTCTGATAATAATAATTATCTATAAATGTTTTAAACATTATCCTTTCATTTTTTTCTCCTCAACTTTTCATAGATTCCCTCTCAAATACGAACAATACGAATTACCAATAAAACAAAGGTGTACACATCAGTCACCATATAGAAGTAGGTCATGTATATTGTTTAGCGTTATTTTTAAATAAATTTTCGGTGAGACTAATTTATGGACGACCACATGCAGATTTTAAGACAATGTGAAGATTTAGAATGATGATTTACAGTTAATGGTTGGGGGTTAGGAGTTAGAGTTAAGGTTTTCATCACGAACTAACATCAACTGAAATGCTGAAACGCTATTTAACCAATTGGATGAATGAATTTCGCTCTGAAATTCATATTATTCTATGTTTCATCGGTTCGTCCATAAATTATAGCGTCGCCAAATATTCTTATTTTCGGAATGGTTGTACATTTTATTATACTGGAAGGAGATGATTAAATTGTTTCTGTTAGTTAGTTAATGCCGGTATGGTGAATCAGATTATCTCTTACATTGGTTTTCAATATAAAACAATAATGAAATGAAACCATATACAAAATAAGATATATTCCACTACTTAACCTCAAAGTTCTTATTCATTGAACATTGGAAATTCTATTGAATCTCTAGAGTGATCACCAGTTTCATTTCACCTTCAATAGTGTCATATACAAATATCGTCAATCCTACTGAATAGACACTTTGTCATATCTCTCTTTAATTAGACTGAGGACGCAACGACCAACTGAAACAAATCAAACATTAATTATAAAATAAATTATAACAATTTTATAAAGCATTATGTAGTAGGGCAAAGAACCTATTTACGTCCGTCTATGTAGACTAACTACGACATAGCTGTACTCATATGAAGCCATATGGACAACTTTGGATATAAGTTTGATTGGGAAAACATCGAAATATTGAACAAAAAAATATTAAATAATTTTTAAAAGTTTACCACTCTTATGTACAGGTATTTATGCAAACTACTTCTACCTGAAGTTTGTGTTGATTATGTCGTTCAGTAGGACGATGAAAGCTCCACAATCAAACCATCCAAATCAGAGAACAAAACTTCATTAAAAGCTAACAACCAATAAATACAATAATATGTAACTAGAAGATCAAAGATCAGATTACAGACATAAATCAATCAAATTGTTGGTTAACAAAACAAGCTGATAGTCACTTGTGAAAATATTCTGATAAACTACAATTATATTTAAGATCATGAACTGATCAATGTTAGATCGCTATTAAAAATTTGAAAGCATTTAACGACTGTTTCGTCTTTCATTGATGGTCTAACATTGGTGGATTCATGATCTCAACAATTGATAAAAAAGACTAAAATTTATTGAAGTATGTGCTAATGATATTTATTGAGAAAGACAATGAATGCTTCATCATTAAACCATTCATTTTATTTTATTTAAACACATAAATATTAGTAGAAAAGGGAACCAGATATATATGCGCCACACAAATCAAATGAAATTTGTGTGAGGGATGGGATACTGCCCAGGTGCCCAAGCCGAAACAGGTGGTTTTCTTAGGGGGCCACACCCAGAGCCTTTGACCTAAAGATCTGATCCATAAGGCAGTGGAGCATCCTCAGTCAGTCAGTCACAACGTAAAACTTCGTATGTACATACATCAGTTCGAGTTGTCATACCACATTAGCACCGAGATGCGGTTGTCAATTCAAATCCCATAGTGGTAGAAGTAGTAAGAGAGAGTATAAGCAGTAATGTGAAAGATTAGGGTTTGCAGATATTGTTGAAGTAGTATATTCCGGTGAAATAAATTTGGAAAGAGAAAAAAGGAAAAAAAGGGATATAAAGAATTCAGAAGATTAGAATTTGGCAGAACACAAAGAGTGGATGCACCTTCGCCATTGCAAACGATTTTGAGCCATGTCATTCAAGGTCTCTAACCATCGATTGCTACCATCTCGCGAATCCCAACCAGGTAGTCTACACCTACCAACATGTCTCAGTCCACTTGTTAGTGACTTCATGGATTTATGCCACGTTTTGGTCTGGCCACCCCTAGCTTTCTTCCTGCCTACTCCTACACCATGAAACATTGCACGTCGGGGCAGTCGGTGGTTGGGCATACGTAACACATATCTCAGCCATTCCAACTGATGAAGTTTCACTACTTCATCAATTGATTTGTCATCCTTACTTAGTACCCGTTTCCTAACAACTGCATCACTTACCCGATAGTCCCAGGATATACGAGCAATGCTTCGACGACACCTATGATCGAATACTAGCAGCGTACGAATATGTTCTACTCTTATCGGCCATCGTAATGAGATGCAGTCCCATGATAGCCGGTCACCAACAATTGATTCATACGCCATTTGTTCTCTCAGGATACTGGAGCCCATTTACAGCATTGTTTTGGAATCAGGGTTTTCCAGCTCCCCTAGATAGACTCTTTATGTCCACCAACCCGGTTAAAGCACCGAACATTCGCTTTTCGTCCTCTTAATTTCGTAAACAACAGTAATGCCACGAGGAGTCAGTGAGTAGGACTTTCCTGGCAGAGGCTATTTATTCGCATGGCCATGAGAGAGCATTTCGAGAGGGAGAACGGACTTTCCCCACTCTCGGCTGTACCAGAGTCATGGAAATAATTTAATCTGTTGATACTATTCATCATGAAATTAATAATAACTTATAATTATATGATTGATATCTATTTAATAATATATAAACGAAGTTACTATCAGGTCAATGTTAATGTAAATTGACACAACTAATCACCACAATATGAATGTTGATAATGTGTTTTAATGAACTTTTGACCATCTAATTATATTTGACAGATTTAGTTATAATTCGGTATGTGTATATAATTTAAATTTAATTATTAGTATATAGAATTTCGGTTATAAATTAATCATTGAACTAAACATTATTAAGTGATGAAGTATAATTGTTGATAAAATTTGTTTATTATATGTGATATATTAGAAATCAGATAGAGAATAAAAAAGAAAGGGGGAAACATTCGATAGATATTTCGTCTTCTCACATTGGTGGTGGTGTTGTTTACCAAATTGAGAGGACGAAAAGTGAATGTCCGACGCTTTAACTGGGTTGCTGAACATGGAGAGTCCATCTAGGGGAGTTGGGAAACTCTCATTAAAAACCAATGGTGCACATGGACTCCAGTTTCGTGAAGGAACAAGTGGCGTATGAATCAATCGTTGGTGACAGACTACCATGGAATTGCATCACCTCACCATGCTCCACCACCTTGTGGATCAGATTTTTCGGTCAAAGGCTCGGGGTGTGGCCCCGTAAGAAAACCGCCTGCTTCAATCTGGGCACCTGGGCAGGATCACAGCCCTCACACAAGTCAAATGAGATTTGTGTGGTGCATATTTATCTGGTGCCCCTTTGTACCAATAATTATATATTTAAATAAGTAAATAAATAGTCCAATACATAGAGACAGTTTGTATACTCATTAAGTTTTCCACTGTGAACACATTTTTTCTAAGTATACCAATTTCAATGGTAAAGGAAACTGTCGATCATTTCGAAATATTTACTCTGTTAAGTTCTTAAACATTTCCTAACTTAAATACTGGCTAAATTATACCATATGGACGATCTCATCTAGCTATGAAAAAATTTAATCCCGTGAATAAATAGAATGGTTGCTCAACTTTGTGGATCAGTTGAAGTTAGACATTAACACCGTTGGATGCCAACTCAGTGGTCTGTCGGTTAAGGGCTTCGTCTCGAGACTGGTAGGTCCTGGGTTGGAATCTCGCGAGTGCGGGTTCGTGGATGCGCACTGCTGAGGGGTCCCATAATAGGACGGAACGGCCGTCCTGTGTTTCCAGGTTTTCCATGGTAGTCTAGCTTCAATTGACTGACGCTTTAAACTATGAAACTTAAATATGTATGTTGGCTTTATGGAATTTGTCAGCCTTTACAAAGTCTATAATAAGTTTTCTATTCAGGATAAAAAGAAAACTACATCACTTAAGAGAATATCAGTCTATGCTATCAAGTCTAGTATAATGTCTAAATACTTTCTCATAGACTCCCTGGATGTTCGATGAGATGATGGCATAAGATCGTTACCTGGAAAATGGTTTAGAGACAATCTCAGATTGTTTAAGGTAGTACAAATTGATGTTGACCTTTACAAAAGAAATTCTTTTAAAAGCACAAAGAAACACGTAAAAACTTTCAGCAGAACTCTAATAGTGATCATTTACTTATTCAAGATAATGACTTGGGAAGTCTTAAATTGTAGTTTAAAGATTCATTGTCACTCATAGTCAAAATCTATCTGTGACCTCGGGTAGATGTCTGGTCCGTAAGACAGTTTAAGGCATATTACTTGGCAACATTCTAGCTCGTATTGACCCTTTTAATATAAATAAATTATATCATTTTCTTGCTCATGTCACTAACTACCTTTTCTTGTTTGTTCACAAAATTGCTAGGACATTCTTAATTCACTTGGCACATGTATTTGTCATACAGTAGAATTTCATGAATGAAATATTCCATGTGGTTGCTAAGCTAGTTGACCAATAGTCTTCAAATAACTACAATGCGTCTCCATACCGAGTTACGCTTAGCTAAGTAGTCATATTGTATGGGATTAGGTTGAAAGAATTCAACCGGTACTGTAGATTAAATAGGACAAAAATTACTTTACTTACTTTCACATCAATATACGATGGTTTCCTTACTCACTTACTTACTCCTGTTACCACTTATGGAGAAGCATGAGCCTCTCACCAGCATTCTCCATGCCGCGAAATCCTTTCCAGTTGCTATTCATCCCTTTGATATCTGTTTCTGATTCCCGACGCAATGTGTTCCTTGGTCTTTTTTCCTTTCCTTCAGCGTTTCAAGTTCGCACTTGCCTCGTAATGCTGTTTGATGATTTTCGCAATGTAGTTCCTATCCACCTTTGGAGTCTTCTTAATTTCTTCTCCAAATGAAATTTGGTTTGTTCTCTCCCATAAGGAGGCTGTTGTTGATGGTATTCGGTCAACGGACTTTGAGTTTCTTGAGTAGTAGTTGTCCACTTGTAGCTCTTCCAGGGTTACTATCAGTCTCAAACCCGATTAAAGGAGACGAGGGTCAGGCATGGAGTCAGTAACCTCATCGCATAGAAAACAACTTTGTTAAAAAACAGTCTAACCACACAAAATAATTTAAACCCCATTAATGAACCAGTATTACAATTGGTAAGCAAAGATAAATAGCGGTTAGCAATGGAATCCAGGACGCGCGTTTCGTCCTATTTGGGACTCGTCAGCTTGGATGTACCTGTATCTCAGATGTTCACTCTGAGACTCGAATCCACTACCCTTCGATTCAAACAAACAATACTAAGTGAATTTACTATTACAATCGTTTATAGAATGTATCATGTATATCATACTGTGTTGAATATTAACTAGATTGATGTCAAACTCCATACAACATGTCATTTCATCAACAAACAACGTCAAGAAACACAATTAAGGATACTACATGAATCTATCAACAACAACAAAAAAACAAACATAAAAGGACCTTCAAATAGTTGTGTTCAAGGTTTGGTTTTTTGATTGTAAAACATTAAAAGTACAAAGGAAAGAGAGAATAAGAAAGGAAGTCGGTTAAAATTAGGTCATAACAAATGTATAGAGTAAACCGTTGTATTGGGTTTTTAAATAAAAACCTTAAATCACTTTATTAATTAATGGTTTTAATAGTAAATCATTGAAAATAATAGATTAACAACATTGTTTTTAAGCTATTCAACAATAAATCCATTCGGTATTGTTTATTTGATTCTTCCCATTAATATTCAGGACTGCAATTGATCATTCTATTATTGGTATATGTAAATCTTGTGTTGATTGCTTCGATATTGCCTAAAGTCACAAGCATGGTGATTATCAGGACTCAGTAGCTAAGTGAGTAACATGCTGGCATTTGATGCGAACTGGTACTGCGTTCGAGTCTCGGGATGAACATGAACTTTGGGGTGCAGATGCATCCAGCTGTAGAGTTCTAAACGGGACGACACTCGCATTCTAGATTTTACTGCAGCGACATTCCGTTCATTGTCCCCGAATGCCCTGATATGACCGAGGGTGGGGATCACCACACAGTGATCAATCAATCGTGGATACTATTCTCTTATGTATATGAAAACAGAACTTGATCTTGAACATTAACAATACGGAATTATCAATGATAAATACGTTTGTTTGTTTTTGTCTTTTCATTTCAGAATTAACATTTTTCATACAATATGGTTGCTTCAGAATTTCTCGGTTATATTCAATCATTTTCTGTATGTAACTTTGTTGGATTTGAAGATTTAGCTGATCGTGCAAATTTTCAATGGAATGTTATTGTACTACTTTTATGTATGGTTTTAGTAACAATGAGACAATATTTTATGACTCCATTAGTATGTTATTTACCAACAACAGTGAGTGGAGTCAATGCAGATTCTTATATAACTAATCTATGTTGGATTGAAGGAACATTTCCTATTAATTTAACATCTGGAATTGTACCACATAAACTACAGGAATGGGATGCACTTCGACCGCAACAAATGAGTATGTTTTGATCATTTAAACGTTCGATTAGTTCATTTAGTATTGTTTGTTTGAATCTTCCCATCGATGTGTTAGGATTGAAACTGGTCAGTCTCTTATTGGCATATATACATACTGTGCGTATTGCCTCGATATAGCCTTAATTCACAAGCATGGTAAGCAGAGATGGATAGTGGTTAGCAGTGGATGGGAAGATTCAAGCAAACAATACTTAATGAATTTAAACTTCACTCCATCGCACAACCAAGTAGCTATCATGACTCAGTAGCTGAGTGGATAACACGATGGCGTTTGAAGCGAAAGTTACTGGGTTCGAGCCCCAGAATGGACATTAACTCTGAGATGCAGGTACATTCAGCTGAAGAGTACCAAATAGGACGAGACGCGCGTCCTGGATTCCACTGCTAGCCACTATCCATCTTTGTTCGATTAATTGTTTATAATAGAAATGATATGTGTAGAGTGTTCTAAATGAGTAGAAAAATTCCATGCCAAACTTTTGTCCATTAAATGCAGTTGACTTCTTCAGAGAATACTCCTCTCACATTTGGAGTTCAATCCAGGACATTTCAATAATTCTTATTATAAATGATGTTTGTTAAAGACAAAGAAAAACTTTCCAGTTATTGTTAAGGGAAATTTTTTTCACATTAAAATACCTAAATTGATCTTACTCATTAAAAAATTAGAATACCGTAAAAGGTAAACGCAAGTATGCAGATCCACCCTGAAGTCGTCATAAGAGTCGTGAATCATAAAAGCTTCACATTTTTGGGGACAGATATCATTTGTAGCGCAGAACAGTGACATTAGTTTGTGAAACTTGCTGACAACATCAGGACTTATATAAGTTGATTAGTGACTGTAATAAACTCAAATTGGGTATTCAATTTGTTCTAACCAGTTGACTATACCTAGAGTACTTAAGTGATATCATTCAGTGTTAACAAAGGTCGTCTAAAGAGATCCATTCTTAATTTTTTTGTCTGATTCTTATGTTTTATCACTTTGTATTTTTCATTCTCTATTTTCATTTGTTTTTAAAAACTAAATTCTTGACATAACATTATTTATTCATTTAAACACAAATACCGGTCCAAAAATGCACCAAAATATACAGCGCCACACAAATCATTCGATGTGCGTGAGGGCTGGAATACTGCCCGAGTGCCCAAACCGAAGCGGGTAGTTTTCATAGCAGGTCACAGCTGGGGTCTTCGACCTAAAAGTTAAATCCACAAGGCAGTGGAGCAACGTCAGGAGATACAGTCCCATATTAGCCGGTAACAAAGAACTAGTTAATACAATATTTTCTCTTCACGTTTCTGATGCCGTCGTGCACCATTGGTTTGGAATATATAGTTTTCTAACTCCTAGGTGAATCTTCCGTACACACCAACACGATTTAAGTAACGGATGTTCACTTTCCATTCTTTCAATCTCATAGTGAACATCCACACCGTTAAAAGGTAGTGTGTAGAACTTTTCTGGTAATGGTTATGTATATGCGGTCATATGAAAGGAATTGGAGAGGGAGAGTTGACTCTCCCCGTTGCCGGTTGTACAAAGTCATCTGTGGGCCTATCTTGTTCGCACAATCAATTGTTTGTTTTATCCGATTTTATTTATTAGCTTTTTCTTCAGATGTCATTGTTATAACTGCGTTTACTGTTATTGAATTTTTCGTCTTGATCACATTTTATTTTATTATGAAGCATGGCAACTTAATTCAGTTATTGACTCGATATTAAAGAGTATCTTTTCAGCATTTAGAAATACTAAGATAACAGAGTGAAGTATCAAGAAAATTAAGACGCTATTGAGTTGTTTTGATCTTTCATACTATTCTATTTGATACTCTTATCTGAATGTTGGGATCTCTACTGTAAGCTAAATTAATTCATTTAGAATCTCAATATATATCAATCACTGGACTGATTAGGAATTTTAATCCATAAAATTTGTAATGGCTTCGGATTATCTCATTATTTGATCTCTGCAAATCCTGTGCAGATTGATTCGATATAGCCATTATAGCATAAGTTTACATAGAATAGGTGGAACACAACTAACAATGGAGTTGACCTATATATTTCGTCCTGTTTGGGACTCATCAGTTTAATGTATCTGAATTCAGGAGTTGATATTTGTTGCTAATTCGGTTTTTTTAATACATAAAATCCTCTATTGTAGGCAATTCAACTAATACATATTATTATCAGAAGGGGTTTTGTGGAGATTTTAGTAATTTTATAGAGTTGATATCATTAGTCAATTGAAGCTAGACTACCATCGAAAGCCTGGAAGCACTGGACGGCCGTTTCGTCCTATTATGGGACTCCTCAGCAGTGCACATCCATGATCCCGCACTCGAAGGGTTCGAACCCAGGACCTACTAGTTTCGCTCACTGCTGAGGAGTCCTATACTAAAACGAGACGGCCGTCCAGTGCTTCCAGGTTTTCGATTGTGGTCTAGCTTAAATTGACTCATGATCTCAACTCTATAATAATACATATTATTATTTCATTCCTAAATTTCACTGCTGAATTGCAAATTAATGTTTAATTTAAGTAGTATTAGTAGTAGTAGTAGTTAACAAACAGAGAAATGATTTATCTTACCTTTTCAAGGAAAATCTGTTTTCTAAGAAAACCAAGAATTAAATTGTTGCCTTGACTACTAATTTCATTTCTTTCTGCTTAAAAACAATGCTTGATTTATTTGGAAAAACCCTAAGATTACCGTAATTCTTATAGACCACTGAAGAGTCAGGAATTTTATAATTACAACATTAAGCACGTTATTGAATGATTGTCAATCGGTAAAATAGATTTATTAGTGTTATTTAATCAATATTATTGCCTTTCCGTTTTGTTTGCTTGTTGTTATTCATGTATTGGCACAACTATATATGACCATATTGATTATGTACCTAGAGAGCATTTGCTTTACTGATTTCATTCTAATTTGACTACCAGCATATTAGTTGATAAAGAATTCTTCTCTAGTATATACTAATAAATCAACACTACTTGCTGCTAATATAGAGACACCAAGTGTATATCTGTTCATGTTTGTTTGTTTGTTGTATTATTACATTCTGCTGGTTTCATGTCATTAAATACGTGTGTGCATTCACATGAACGTGTGATATAATATATCTTGTGAAGTAATTCAATAGTTTGGTTCCTGATTAAGACCATATTGATTTAAATCTCAACAGTTATGTTTTTGAGTTCTAAATAATCCATCCATATCGATTTGAACAGCCGAATAGTACCATCAATTCTAAGTTATTAGAATTCTAGTTCTTATCTGAGTACAGAAGTTTGTATCGTGTCAATTAGTTGGATATCATCTAATAATAAAAGCACTTATAATATCCAATACCCTGAACTTGATTACAATTCTCAGCACTAAATTTGCAAAATTACAGGCATTCAACTGGTGAATGTTCAAAATATATGCTCATATGGCATCTCTTCCTTATCTCTGAATGCATAGCAATCGCCTCTTGTTTGTCTTGAACGAAATTGGAGGAGTAAAGTATGCGGAGCACCGTAGTTGAACATGTTGAATCACTCAATAATTATATTTCAGTATTTTCATAGTTGAGTCTATTGAAGTTAGACCACCATCGAAAACCTCGAAGCACTCGACGGCCGTTTCGTTTTATTATGGAACTGTAAGCGATGTTTCTTTGAATTCTAATGAGAAGCAGTGACCAGTGGAGTTCAACCAGGTCTGTCGTGAGATATTGACTTACTGAAGACAATGGTGAACGGTCGCTCAATTTCGTGGATTGGTTGAAGTTAGACATTAACACCGTTTGATGCCGTCTCACTGGTCTCATGGTTAAGTGCTCTGGAGCGAGACTGGTAGGTCCTGAGTTGGAATATCGCGAGTGCGGGTTCGTGGATGCGCACTGCTGAGGGGTCCCATAATAGGACGGAACGGCCGTCCAGTGTTTCCAGGTTCTCCATGGTGGTCTAGCTTCAATTGACTCATGATTTCAACTATGAAAATACTGAAATATCCACAAAACCCCTTCTGTTATGCTTGAAGCTAAATCGATTCCGCGGTAGCGAACGAAGCCAATGACACAATGACACGATAAGCTATTGTAATCGGTTGTCCCAGGCCCCGCTAACTAGATGAAGAAGTCCAAGGCAAGTAGGGGAATATATATGTATTCCGTAAGCAGCCGAGTACAGGCAATCAAATAAGGGAAAAAGTCAAGCGCATTTATACAACAACAATTTGTCCTTGAGTATCATTAGTAAATAGCACACATAAAGAAACAATGGACCAATAGCGTTTAAGATAGTTTACAAGTGGGAAATATGACGTGAAGGTAAAAAGAGCGCGTTTGGCGCGGAAACAGCTAAATTCAAATTTTCAAAATAAAATTACAAAACTAAGCCATTTACCCAGTGAGGTCTGGGGATTTGACATCCCCAACACCTTCTGAATTATATTTCAGATTAGTTGTAAATATTTCATGAAGTTGCATTATTACAAGCCGCTATTATACATAATTAGTAAATAAAAATAGATTTGTCATGTGATAAGTCGTTTGATAATTAGGAATTCATGCACTACTCAGGTGTTTAGTAATCACAATGTATGTAATTATTATCAATTTCGGGGATTTGTGAAGATTGTATTATTTTCAAAGTTGAATTCACAAGTCAATATAAGCTAGACCACTATTGAAAACATGGAAGCATTTGACATGAGGTCATAGATCGATTGAAGTTAAACACCATTGGATTTCGGATCAGTGGTTTAGAAGTTCAGCGTTCGCACGCGAAACCGAGGGTAATGGGTTCGATCACTGCTTGCGGAATAATAAATGCTCACTGTTGAGGAAAACAGAACAACACTTTTTATAAAGGTACATGGAGCGTCCGAACAATGTGGGAGACTAGGAAACCCAGTCAAATAGGAACGGAAGTGAGGAGATACAAATTGGTGGCTGTACTTGGAATCAGCGAAATTCATTGGACACAAGTTGGACAGCAAAGGCTAGATACGGGAAAGATGCTGCTGTGCTCTGGTCACTAAGAGGAAAATGCTCCACACACTCAGGGAGTTGCTCTAATGCTGTCCAGAGAAGGACGAAATGCACTTGTAGGATGGGAATCTCACGGATCCATAGTCATCAAAGTATCATTCAAAACAAAGTAGGGGATCGCAATGAATGTTATCCAATGTTATGAACCCAACAATGATAGCAACGACGACATTAAAGATCGGTTCTATGAAAGGCTGCAATCAATCTTAGCGAGGTACTCAACAAAGGACCCCACCATCTTGATGGAAGGCCTAAACGCCAAAGTCGGAATGGACAACACAGGATATGAAGATATAATGAGACGACATGGATTGGGATAGAGAAATGAAAATGTGGAGAGATTTGTAAATCTATGTGCATTCAACAAATTGGTCATAGGTGGCACTATACTCCCCCACAATCTCATACATAAAGCTACATGGATCTCGCCGGACCACACCACAGTAAACAAGATAGATCATATTTGTATCAACAAAACATTCTGAAGGACAATTGAAGATGTGAGAACCAGGAGAGGAGCTGACACAGCTTCAGATCATCATCTACCTGGTTGTGACCAAGATGAAACTGAAGCTAAAAAAAAACACTGGACAACTGGGGAAACAGCATTACAAAGGTTTAATACAGCTTTCCTTCGAGATATTGACGAACTCAACGAATTCAAGGTAACTCACAACAACAGGTTCCAAGTTTTACAGGATCTACCGAAATAACAAGAAACTACTATAGAGAACAACTGAAAGGGTATAAAAGAAGTACTAACTTCAACGTCTCACGAGGTTCTGGGTCGCAAGAAGCATCATCATAAGAAATGGATCTCTATGGGAACGTTGGACAAGATTGAAGGAAGGAAGAATAAGAAAACAGCAATTAATAGCAGTCGAACACGAGCAGAGAAATTCAAGGCGCAAGCAGAATATGCAGAAGCAAACAGGGAAGTGAAGAAGAGCATTAAAGCCGACAAGCAGAAATACGTGGGCAAACTAGCAACAACGACGGAAAAAGCTGCAAGAAAATGGAAGATAAAACAACTATATGATGTAACGAAAAAACTAGCTGGGAGATATAATAAACCAGAGAGACCAGTCAAGGATAAAGAAGGGGAGACAATCACAGAGATTGTTCTAATAATTTCATATCGCTGTGTTAATCATGACATAGTGATTTGAAATAATGTCGACATATGCCGAGTTCTACATGTTGCGTATTAACTGACTGATTTTTCGTTAAGTTAAAAGAACTATCTACCATTGAGCATTTAACAATTAAACAAACAAACAAACAATCTAATTGGATTATTATTATTACTAGACTACAATATTTAATGTAGTTCTAAAAGTCAAGTTAAACATACGAATAATAGTTCAATCTTGAAAGGTAAAGCTAACAGTACCGTTAGTGATGAGTTGACTGACCCCCAAAGCCCTAATACGGAAAAGAGTAGGGAGAGTCCGCTCACCCTCTCCAAATACTCTCATATGGCCACGCGTATAAAGCCTCTGTCAGGGAAGTTCTACCCACTACCTTCCCGCACCACGGCTGTTGTTTACGTAATTGAGAGGACGAAAAGCGAATATCCGACGTTTTAACTGGGTTAGTAGACACAGAAAGTTCACCTAGGGGAGTTGAAAAACCCTTGTTCCAAACCAATGGTACACATGGCCTGGCTGCAGTATCCTGAGGAAACAAATGACGTATGAATCAATCTTTGGTGACCGGCTACCATGGCATTGCGTCTCTTTAAGACGCTCCACTGCCTTGTGGATCAGATCTTTAGCTCAAAGGCTCGAGGTTTGACCCCCCAAGAAAACCACCTGTTTCTGTTTGGGCATCTGAGCAGTATCGTAACCCTCACACAGATCAAATGAAATTTGTGTGGCGTATATATATATGTGGTTCCCCTTTGTTGTACCACTATGTTCATATCTATCCGTTACATTTTTGATATTTATACTATTATATTTCTATAAATTGTAACATTTATCCCTTCTTCTTTTTTTTTTCTTTCTTTTCAGATTATTATCAATGGGTACCATTGGTATTAGGTTTACAAGCTATACTATATTATATACCACGTATTATATGGAGTATATTCACTTATAATCGTACTGGTACAGATTTACAAAATTTAATACGTCAAGCTAATTTAATATCTAAAGAAGATGGAGAGAAACGTCAAAAAATGGTACAACATATTGCTAAAACATTAGAATTATTATTATTCAATCGTCGGGAATATCGTACTACAGATACATTAGGTGCATCATTTCGACGTTCCATGGCATTTATGCCGGGTAAACGTCATGGAAATAATTTAGTTTATGTTTATTTAACAATTAAATTGTTATATTCAATTGTTGGATTCTTTCAATTATATTTAATGTATTTCTTTTTACGTTTTAATTCATATGAAGGTTATTGGTTATTTGGTTATCGTATATTATCTGATATTATACATGGTAAACAATGGACAGAAACACAAGTATTTCCTAGAGTTGGTATGTGTCGGCATACATTACAACATGTTGGTGCTAGTAATACATTATTTGCACAATGTGTATTACCAATTAATATGTTAAATGAAAAAATTTATATATTTTTATTCTTTTTTCTTGGTTCAGTTATGATAATGACTATGTTAAGTATACCATTATGGTTATATCGTATGGGTTTAAAACAACGTCAACGTCATTTTGTTAGAAGATTTTTAAAAATTGCTGATGTCTATGATCGGGATGATCCTAAAATTGCATTACTTACAGATCGTTTTATGGCAGAATTTCTTAGACAAGATGGACATTTTATTCTACGTATGTTATCTATGAATGCTGGAGATTTAATAACTGTTGAAATTGTATGTAATTTATTTGCTGATTATAAAAAACGTTTTACCGGTATTGATTTTCGTGGTCCACCTATTATACCAAAAATGCATAAATATCATAATTTTGATGATTATCTATCACAACATCCACATAATATTTCAAATGATATATCAAGACCTAATAATATTGATAAAAATCCACCTGGTTTTATAAGATTAGAAGAAGGTGGTACAGCGAATGTACGTCAACGACCAATACCATCAGCTCCAACATTTTCAGATAATCCTATACCACCAGCATATCAATATGCGACAGGAATAAAAGATTCAGAAATTTATCCATTAAGTGTTGTACGGAATATGCCACGTGATACTCCTGTGGAATCAAGTAATAATGTGACAAATTCAATCAATACACCTAAAAAAATAGATGATAATATTATTGTTCATGAAAAAGAACCATTGAATAAAATTCCAAAATATACACCAACGGAGGTATAATGTTACTAGGAAGGTGAGGAGAAGCGTAAATGAGAAATGGAAATAATCCCTATGTGGTCACTTACTTACTTGATAATAGCACATCATCTTGTGATTATTATTAATCATGGTCAATAAATTACGAATGTCCCTTGTTGGTCATTCCATTTGTGCTATATATATATATATATATATATATATATATATATATATATATATATATATATATATATATATATATATATATGTCTATGTTATAAATGAATAACATTTTTCTGTTAATATGTTCACTTTGAGTTTTCCTTGTTTTTTTTTAGACATTGAAAATTGTATTACTACACTATGTGTGTGTATGTGTTCCCCCCCTCTTCTTTTTTGTATACGAACTTTTTTTAAAATATTTTGTAACATTAGTTTTGATGTATGTTCTTTTTTTCTTTCTAGATACACAACTGGTTAATGGTGTAAATTGAGATGTATCTGTCTATGTTTTCCCGGTGATTATAGAGGTTTACATTAGTTAGGCAATCATTTAAATCTAGGAGAACACTGAATGTCTGTTTCGTTCTAGTATAGAAATCCTATGGAGTATATGTACGAGTGATCCCTTAGAAATCGAATCTACAGTCTTCAGTCGTTGTACTGTTAACGAGTAGTGTAAAAGATCTCATGGCTTTGCAATACACCTTGATGTTCGCTGGCAGTCAGTCAGTCACAACCTAGATCTTCATACGTACGTACGTAAATCAGTTCGAGTTGCCATACCATATTAGCACAGAGATGCAGTTGTCTATTCAAATCCCATAGTGATAGAAGTAATAAGAGTATAAACAGTAATCCGAAAGATTAGGGTTTAAAGATGTCATTGAAGGAGTATAATCCAGTGAAATAAATTTGGAAAGAGAAAAAAGATAGAGATATGAAGAATTCAGAAGATTATAATTTCGCAGAACACAATGAGTGAATGCACCTTCGCCATTGCTCACTGACTGTGTGGATGAACTAGGTTTGTGAATTAAACTGTAAATTTAACAGCATCCATCAACTTATTCAAATAACAAAACAGATGAAGCTGTTAGGCGTGATGTAAAATCAGTTAAAATTGTCATAATTTCTGGTACTGATTTATCATTAAAACAAATGTTACCTTTAATGGCTTACGGAACTCTACAACCTTTTCCTAGATAGGCCAAATGAATATCAAGGAATAGTGGAGTAGCTGATTTTCCTCTATAGAAAACATCCGACCATATAAATGTAGAAGAGCTTACAAACATAGAACGGCTGGCCACCTGACTTAACAGTTTATTACATTATAATGGATGTATTGTGACAGGTAATTTACAAATGATGAAAACGATGGTTAGCAAACATTCATTATATCAAAATATTTTGATAGAGGAAGTGAAATCAGTAACCGAGTTGTTTATAGGTAGTTGTCAAGACGACAACACTATTGTTTCTTCACTCCTGACCATTACGTCACAAAATGACCATTCTGTATTGTTTTAATAACAGTATACTTTAAGCAACCACATAATTGATATACGTTATGATCTCTACACCTATGACGATGAACCTCCCACGTTGCTGCATTCTGACTCCGTATACCAGAGAGTTAATCTCTAAATGGATTAGAATAAAAAGGGTAAGATGGTGATTGAAGGTGGTCAACAGGAAACCCTGGATCCGGGTTTCGTGCTACTTGGCACTCGTCAGCAAGGTGTAACAGTAATCTTGAGGGAACTGGTGCTCCCTGACGGATTCAATCTCGTGTCACTCAGCTTCACAGTCAGAGAAGTTACCACTGAGCAAGTCGGACCGCGACCGACCTCCTGTAGGACTGAGATGTAATCACAATTGGTTGATCACTAGGTGGTGATGAATGTCATGCATGTCAATTCCTTCTTAGTGCTGATCGAATGCTATCGATCAAACTGAAATGTAGCCACTAGTCTAGGTGGCCCGACACTCCGTGCACTATATTGAGATAAGATGGTGGTTGGAGGTGGTCAACAGTAAATCGCTAGGTACAAGTGTTTTCATAATAGCTATTATTCATGACGCGTGTTTAATGTAAGTCAAGAATATAAATACGTTGTTATTCCCAGTAAGTATACAGTCGAGACATTTTTGATACGAAATGGTTCAATATATCTATGAATAGTGTACATTAGTGGCTAACTAGTGCTGATCTGATTTTATAGACCAATTTTCAACTTAGACACAAGTTTAGGTGACTTAATATCTCGTGTACTATATGCTCTGATTTGAAGTGATTGATAATTATCGGTAAGAAAGTTCTGGACTCCGGCTTCGTATTAGTTAGCGGTCATTAGTAATGGGTATTTTCAAAGTAAATATTTCAGTCTTACAGGAAGCCAGTCGTCTCCAAAATGACCCTATGAAAACGCCTCAGAAATGAGATTTCAAATGACTCAGATCTGAATCCCATTATGAGTATCAGTTTTCTTAAGATTACAGGTGTGTCTGCTGACGAGGTATAATACTCCTGGAAATCTCTACATACAACCTTTGAGTAGTTATTGCATTCGTATGGGTGTAGATATCATAAATAAGTTTGTCTTGTTAATAGAAGGAGAATACAAAAGTAGAAATGTTTTTTACGGCAGGTGTAAAATAAGGTCTATAAAACTTTCTCGGTCTTTGTTGTGTTCTCTCTGCCCAATATGTGTTGATGAAAGAGACTAAAGATCTATACGATTGAATCATTCGGGAAACAATACAAATGTTCATCTCAAACTTATCTAATCCATTTGGGACTACAATTAGTTGCTTCCATGAAACATCTAATGGTATTATTCTCTCTACAAACCTGTTATGATTTGTCAGACAGAAACACAACTGTGAAAAGAAGCCTAAGCAGATAAACATTTAATTACTATCTTTCAACAAGGAATTACTTCACAAACCATAAAAAATGAATAGTGGTGACAAATATAGTTTTTTTCATTCTTCTTAAGTGCATGTGAGAAAACTTGAATATTCATGTGTTCGCATGTGATCGAACTATGACCCCAAAATCTATGACTGATCCTAATTTCTATGACTCATGATTTCAAGCAATAGTTTACAATAATATCCACAAAAACCCCTTTCATATAGTAATCATATGCTCACTAGTGACTGTCTTCAAGAGGTATTTGCTGAAGTTCTAGAGAGAAATAGTGAACAGTGGAGTTCAAGCGGGGCTGACTGAAGACAGTGGTGGATATGTCGCTCAATTCTGTGGATTAGTTAAAGTTAGACATTAACACAGTTGGATGTCGGATCAATGGTTTAGAGATTAAGCGTCCGCGCGCGAGAATGATAGGTCCTGGGTTTGAATCTCTCGAGGCAGGATGATGATGAGTGCCACAACAGGACGAAATAACAGTGCAGTGCTTCCAGATTCTCCATGATGCTCTAGCTTCAATTGACTCATGACCTCAACTATTAAATTCTAGACTGAGATAGAGAGTGGTTATTTTGTTTGTTTAATAATTTGTTAAATTGATTGGAAAATAATTTACTGGAGAGAACTCCTATTTAATAACTGTTAACATTAAATTATTTCGATGAACTTTGACCTTTACTAAGGTAATAGTCTAGAAACCTTCTTTGTTCTCTAATGAATCGCTAATTTATATAGCTGTAATAAATAATATTATGAAGGAAGAATATATTTATCAGTATAGGATTATGGAGATTGTTGAGTTTAGATTGAAATCATGAATGGATCAATGTTAGACCACCATATATTTGTCATTTTAAGAGATTTTTTTCGAAAATGAGCATAGTTCTCGTTTCAAAAGGCTTTCCTTCATTATTGAACAATAAAGTAACATTTACAAATCCCAATGCACTCCAGTACGCTACATTGAACTACATGTGATTTTAGTTTAGATAGCATTCGATCAGCACCAAGAAGGACTTGACACACATGACGTTGATCACCACCCAGTGATCAGTCAATTATGATTACATCTCAGTCCTACAGGAGGTCGGTCGCGGTCCGAGTAGCTCAGTGGTAATGTCTCTCACTGTGAAGCTGAGTGACACGAGATTGAATCCGTCAGGGAGCATCAGTTCCCTCAAGATTACTGTTACACCTTACTGACGAGTGCCAAGTAGCACGAAACCCGGGTTCAGGGTTTCCTGTTGACTACCTCCAACCACCATCTTATCTCAGTTTAGGTTTTATGCTAACAACACTATGCAGGATCATTTACGATTGTAGCTTTAAGTAGAAACTTCTATTACCATTTATTAACTAATATTTTCTGGAGAATCATTGAGGACTTGATATTCACTCCGTGACTTAAAACAAGTACTATTCTCGCGTTATCCACTTAGCTATTAAGTCCAGGTAACCTCTCACCTCTAGCAAAAAGGTGCATCCAGCTGGCGAGTCTCAATTAAAGCAAAATGTGTGTTCTGGATTCCACTGCGAATCCCATTCCAACTATGTTATATCAACCTGTATCATAATGGATATATCTAGGAAATCCGCACTGGACACCCATATGCCGATCAAGACTAAACAGAGTTCAGTGAAAAGTATCAACGGGATAATGCAAACTATTTCAAAGAGCATATTTGTAGTTTACGTACCCATATTCACACCTTACTCAAACTTTTTACTCACTCTTGATTAATTAAGCCTATGATTTACAATGATTTGTATTGTTAGTAAAAATTAATTTTTATCAGTCATGATTATCATACTTAAAAATCATGAGTCAATTGAAGCTAGACCATCAAGGAAAACCTGAAAGCACTGGACGGCTGTTTCGTCCCATTATGGGACTCCTCAGTAGTGCACATCCATAATAGGACGAAACGGCCGTCCAGTGCTTCCAGGTTTTCCATGGTGGTCTAGCTTCAATTGACTCATGATTTCAACTATGAAAATACTGAAATCTCCACAAAATCTCCTTCTGATCTACATTCTTGATTAACTGTTTACAATGGGGTAGCCTCTGTTAATACACCGGAAGTTAACTTGATGAGTTTATAATTATTATAGAGAAAATTTTTGTTGACTTTATTATTGTATTTGTGTTCATTTAGCCTTATCAGTTCAATATAATTAGAGAGACATTAATAAAATCTTTTCACAAACACTAAACGAATCATCATGCTCATGATTATCACCATTAAAAACGCATAGAAATTAAGCGTACTTGATCG